GCTCAAACCTGGGACCCCGCAACCTGGGGCCCCGCGGAGAGCTGGGCTCCTCCGCAGGAAAAGGAGAAGCAAGAATCCCGGCTGCGGGCCGGCCTGGCGCGGGTGAGGGAGGCTGCGCCTGCTCTTACGGTGTTACCGTAGCTCACAGTGCAGGGCGGGGCTGCCTTTAAAAAGGAGAGCCTCGGCGGAGGCTGATCAGCCTCATTACTACCAGGTGACTGAGGGCCCCGCGGACACAGGGCTCCTCCCCCGCGTGTCCACGCGTCCACGGATGAACCACGCGCCGTGGCCCCAGCCCAGGGGAGAGGAAAGCACTCCGTTCCCGGCAGGCGGCGGCCTGTCTGCTGGGAGAGAATCATAATGTAGGTGAGTCCCCTCTGTACGGCCCGGGAAACACCGGAGTTGATAGGCAAAAGCTGTGTTTCCCCCGACGACGAGGAGCAGCTGCTGTAAGAGGGTGGGCCACGTGGGCGATGGATCTGGGAGGAGACCGCAGTGCGCCCCGGGGAGCCATTCGCTGAAGCAGCGCTCTGTTTTCTGTGCCCAAGTTCCCTGGGGAAGAGCCGAGCTGCTGGAAAAGTTACACTTCGGTTAAGCCCAGCCTGGGCGCCAACAGCAGGCCGCGCGCGCCCTCTGCTGTCTCTTCTGGGTTTTGCCTTCACGGGAGGAGAGCTGGGCCAGAGGAAATGGAAGGCCACAGGACTGGGCTCAGAACCTGGGGCTCTCCCAGGGCCAGGAGCCCCCCACTGTGGATTTGAGCAGGTCCCGTAGCCCCTCAGCCTCTGAGCTAACAGGTGGGGCTGGGAGAGACCCGCTCACTGACCAGGTGACCTCCAGAGCACAGTTTCTTTCAAAGACCTGGTACCGGGTTGGGGGGGGAGAGGGAGTCTCAGGGAGAGGTGTCCTCAGAGCACTGAGCAAGGGACACAGTATGACTTTGCTGCGACCTGGAAGGCGGTCAGAGGACAACGAGAACTTCTGTGAATCATTCCACGTGGCTTTCTGCCCGGAGTCTCCATTCCCCTCTCCTCTCCTCTGATGGCAGAGCTTCCCACCATTTGTAACGTGTGTATGTCAAGGCCGAGCGAGGGGTAACGTGTTTGAAGCAAGATGCCCATTCCTTTTTATTTTTACACTAGAGGCCCGATGCACAAAATTCGTGCAAGAGTAGGCCTTCCTTCCCTCTGGCACCTGGGACCCAGGCTTCCCTCAAAGCCCCTGCTTAGTCTGGAAGGTCGCCCGGAAGGATGTCCGGTCTCATTGGCATATTACACTTTTATTATAGATTTGTGGTCATTTACATTTTTGAGAAATATACATTAAAATTGTGTGTACTTGAGAAACCACTACATTTAATTTTTTTTTAGATCCTTGAAACTATGAGAACAAGCCAAGATGATGATAAAAAAAAAAAAATAGGGAATATGAGAGTGGAGCTCAGAAAAAAAAACTGAAAAGAGAAAAGAAAAATCTTCAGAGAAATGGACTTTGTGAGTTTTTAAGACCTGGAAACATTGTCAGTGGGCACGTTTGCATGTCCAAATGCACTCATGCCATTACTAACACCGACGAAAGAAAACCAGATACAGCGACTAGTCCAGGTACCCAACAAAGATGAGGACACGGATGTGAAGGCCTGAAATAGTATCAAAAGTTTAATATTTGGACAAATATCATGACGCTTTTGATGGCGTTTACAGCGCAATATTTACAGAAAACAATGGATATTTCTAAAGTTCAACAGAAATGATTTTGAAATTTGATGCTAGAGTGGCCAAATCATATAATTTGGATAAAAAGTAAAGAAATAACCTCTCTTTTGAGTGAAGAATTCAAAATGAGATTATTCATGTATGAGTAATAAAGTGAGAAATCATACATTTAGCAAATGTACTAGGGACTAGGGACAAACATCACGTTGAATTGTTAGGTAACTAACGCTTATTACACATATCGTTGAACCATAAGAAGAAAACAGAAAAGTTGAAGTTGATGAATGTTTTTCATTGGTTTCACAAATATTGTTTAAAAATATTTTGTTCTAAGTGAAGAACAAAATTGTCTCAATTTTAGGCATTGATTTAAAGAGGAGTTCCTCACACTTTTTTAGAAAAGTCTGGATAGTAAATATTTTCGTCTCTGCAGGCTGGACTGTGCCTCCAACCATCCTAGCTCTCTCGGGCATCAAGGAGAGGCCTGTGTTCATCCAGAGCCAGCCTGTTCCAGACGGAAATCTTTAGGAAACGCTGGCGCTGGCGGAGACCACAGGATCCCCAGCCCAGGATGCTGGGCGGGGTTCCTGTTTACAAGCTGCCAGGCTAGGAAGCGGCTGCAGACGGGGGACCCCTCTCGGTGTGTCAACATCCTGGTCGCCACCTGCCGCTGGACGGACAGAATTAGACAGGCCCGGGGCCCTTTTTATTTCATCGTCTCTTATCGATGCTGCATGTTTTCTTTGTGAATATTTTAGGGCTTGGATCATTGAACTGGATTCCCATACCTTCCAAGTGATCCAAGCCATTGACCAGCCACGTGGAGTCGTTACATTGCAAATTTAAGTCCTATTCTTTTTTATTTGTTAGGTTTCTTTCTGTGGCCCAACCCATCCCCTGCATATTTCCAGAAGAGGGAACGCAAAAGGGAAAAGAACGAAGCCTCTACAAATGCCTCGGGCTTTCATCCCAGCACATCTGAGCCACATCCTAAGCAGACAGCAGTTACAAGGGAAGCTTAAAGTGGAGACTGTATTCCACTGCATGTTAACAAACAGTTTTGTTATTTCTCTAACAACACGTGCAAGGTCACCTTGGAGTTATGGAATGGAGAGTGTGTGAGGTTCCCATTTTTATTTTTCTAGATGTGCCACAAGGCTGGCCTAGGCTGGGATTTCGCGCAGAACTCAGAGAGAAGTAGAAACCACTTGTCTCTTGAAGTTTGCCTGCTGGTCTCCTAGCAACCGGCTCCTTGTTGGAGGCACAGTTGAGGTGTCTGGGGACCCAGAATGTGAAGAAGCACATATTCGCTTTTCCACCAGATAATGAATTTTTGTGTGATTGTTACAAATACTCCATTTAAGTGACAGTGGATCTCCTGCTGGCTTTCCAGGTGGAGGAGAGAGACAAAGACCTGCTAGGCTGGCATTGAAGTCCCTGGAGTCTCACCATAGAACAGGCATTGGCTGGAAGTACACCGTGTCTCACCAAACTCTGACCCAACTGGTATCAAAGCCCTGGTTCCGTCAGTCTCCGAGGAATGGTCTCCTGCCTGATGCCTGGCAGAGGAGAGGGGAAGCGTCAGATGGAGCCTTTACAGTCTTTCCTCAAAATGCGTGGCATACAATAGAAAATTATCAAACATGTGAGGAGCAAGATCACAGATAACTAAGCAAACAATTAGACTATAGAAATAAGGTGGTCCAGATATGAACAGTTAGGAACTGTTAAATAGCTGTGATTAATATATTCAAGAAAGTAGAGAGAGAGAGAATGGCAAAGGAATAGATGGCAGAATAGAGAATTTTTATAAGGCATTTGGAATAGAATCAATAAAAACAAGAATCAAATAGACATTCTCAAACTGAGGAAATACTAGATCTAAAATGAAAACTCAATGAATGGCCGATTGTGATCTCAATATACTAACTAGTGGGAAGACAGGTCATTATTCTATAAAATATTCAAAACAAATTATATAGAAGAAAAATATGGAAAAATAGACATTAATAGTGAGACATGGGGGTGATTGGAGACTCAGAAGGAGCAGACAGAGGGAGGGACTGCACAGAAACAATTGTTAAAGGTATTCTGACTGAAACATGTCCCAAACGGATGAAATACACCATCCCACAGATTCAAAAAGCTCAGGGAACCCCAATAAGATCAATGCAAACTTGTAGAGCCCTTCTGTGCTGTTTTTATTTATTTTTTTAAATTTTAAAAATATATTTTTATTGATTTCAGAGAGGAAGGGGGGAGAGAGAGAGATAGAAACATCAATGATGGTAGAGAATCATTGATCGGCTGCCTCTTGCACACCCCCTACTGGGGATTAAGCCTGCAACCTGGGCATGTGCCCTTGGCCGGAATCGAACCTGGGACCCTTCAGTCCACAGGCCGAGGCTCTATCCACTGAGCAAACCCGGCTAGGGCACATCTGTGCTATTTTTAGATCCTGAACTGAGTACAGCAAGAAATAAGGGCTTAGACTTAGAGGAATAGAAATATTTAATCAGGGGCTCAACCAGCTTTGGTGAGAAAACTTTGACATATTCCAAGAAACTCTCTGTAATTACTCCCCATTGCCCGAGGCACTTGAACACTGAGAACTCCTGCTTTGCTCTGACTGTTCCCTCTACTTGGAATGCTCCCTCCCATCCACCTGTGGCGTCTCTGTGCATCCTTCAAGACCTGTTGGCATGGGCTGCTGATCACTGCTCCCCACGCGGGGTCAAGGAAAGGAGGATCACAGAAACACGCCTGGCCCCTCCCTCCCTCCTGGCCGTGTCTCCTTAGGAAAGGAGGTGAGAGTCCTTGCCTGGAGGGCTCGAGAAGTCCACACCCCACGCTCACGTTCCCATGTCTCTATTTGGTGAGGCTGAGAAAACACCTTCCACAGCTCTCTTGTGCATCGTGTGCAGTTCCCAAGGCCTCGACTAGGAGGGAAATGTGAGGGAAAAATACATTTTGCCCATAGGCCAAGCCTCATTCTCTAATCCTGTCTTACACACAGTATTTTACTCCCTAGTCTATCTTAATTGGTTCAAACTCCAGGGGGCTAAGAGTAAAGTTTATTATCATCCTCAAAACCCCAATAAGGTGCATCTCAGAAGCGGCATCTTCTCTTCAGCCTTGCGCAGCCCCTCCGAGCGGAATGAGGCTCCCTCTCTGCTCTGAGGCACTTGGCTGCTCACCACATTGTGTGGTAACAGCTTCTCAATCCAGGCGTCTTCCGCCCTCGGCCCAGGCTCGCTGAGGCAGGTGTGCACCTGGTTTGCTTTTATTCTCTCACATCAGCTCACACAGCGTCCTGCACATCCCAGGTTTTCAGCATGTGTTTAAGAAAGGGACTGGCCCTGGGCGGTGTGGTTCAGTGGTTAGAGCGTTGGCTCACATACCAAAGGGTCACGGGTTTGATTCCCAGTCAAGGGCATGTACCTTGGGTTGCAGGCTTGATCCCCAGCCCTGGTCAGGGCATGTGTGGGAAGTGATGTGTCTCTCTCTCATCGATGTTTCTCTCTCTCTCTCTCTCTCTCTCTCTCTCTCTCTCATCCTTTCCCTCCCTTCCACTCTCTAAAAATCAGTGGAAAAATATCCTCGGGTGAGGATTACTAAAAAAAAAAAAGAAAGAAAGAGACTGGAATTTCCCCAAATATCACTAATGTTAGCAACTCATTCTTTGCTCTGTAGCCATATTCAATATTAAGTTTCCTTATTAATTCAGAGTAACCAGGAATGGGCTGTTTAAAAAGGTTAACACTTTCATAACAACAGTTTCTTCTCTAAGTGTCAATGTTTTAAATTTTTTTTTACCTTTCTGAATGAAATTTTTTAATACATATATACACATATAACTTTATTATATGCATTTCTTTACTCTTTGAAATTGAATATCTTGAGCATGGTGTAACCTTTCAAATCTCAGGACCATGGCCCTTAGTCCCAATAGACTGTTGAGATAAGTTTCTTTGCACCTGCATTAGGTGACTGCTGTGATTTTCAAGTTCAGGGTTTTCTATCTTCTCTTTTTATGTTATCTGACTCTCCTTGTCTCTGACAGGGGCTTACTTCCAATAACTAGTTAGTTACTTCTAGTCCTGTGGTGGCTAGGAATCCAGGTGACTAGGACTGTCATAACTATAGGTGTCCCAAAAATGTATGCACACTTTGTTTTGTTTTTTAATTTCTTTATTAAGTTATTACATATGTGTCCTTATTCCCCCATTCTTCCCCCCCCCCCTTATACCCTCACCCCTATGTTGTCTGTGTCCATTGGTTAGGTTTATATGCATGCATACAAGTCCTTTGGTTGATCTCTTCCCCTTACCCCCACTCTTCCCTACCTTCCCTCTGAGGTTTGACAGTCTG